AAAGTTAATTAAGTGAAATTTCTCCATTCACATCTTCCTTTCGCCTTCTTCCCCCTCCCACTCCTCTCAGTAGAGTTATTCTTATCAATTTCTCCATTGACTGCCTCTGCAACTTTAAGTGGGACCCAAGAAATCTCATTTTGTACACTGTGGGATTGTGTTGTGAAATAATGAATGAACAGCATGTAGGTAGTCAGTCAGTAGTTCTAGAGGTCCAATAAACAATCACTAATCAAACTCTGAATGCAGTTGCAGAGTTTATGGTATGTAAACCTCTTTTTTCATGTATTATTTGTGTAAGTTTTAAAGTGACAACTCTCTCAAACAGGAAATTTGTTTTTATCACATAAGAAACCTAGAGGTAAGATGATTTATCAATTCAGTAACACGATCAAGGACTCAGATTCTTTGTCTTTCCGTCTGCTATTCTTGATACAGAATGTTGACTTTGTTCTTAGGTTAGCTCCCCTCACAGTACCAAGATGGCTTCTTCAGGTCCAAGTGTCACATGCTAATACAACAATATTTAAGAGAACATCTCTTCTGATGTGTGTATCTCTTTATGACTGTACCCAGAAGCTCCCGGTAAACTTCTCTCCCTTCTCATTGACCAGAATTGCACCAAATGTCCATTTCTAAACCAATTCCTGGCAAGGATAATGGATTACAGTGATTATCTTAGTGAAGCACATAGTCATGTGGAGGATGTTAGAGTACTTGATTGATATCCAAGGTTTTGTAGAAAGGAGTGAGGAGGAATAGTTAGGTGGTCAGTTGCAATGGCCCTAACAGTGGAAAATATCAATCCTGTTTCTTATACTCTGCCAGGCTACTTTTTTGGAAAAATTAAGTAGGAAGTCAGGAAATTATTTGAAACCATAACCTTCTTTATATCCCCTTTGCTGCAGTATCCAGTTGTACTTAAATATCTGGAAAGGATCTTTTGGAAGCTAGGCATTAAAGGAAGACTGAGAAATGTACACTTTCTCCTCCTACACTTGAGTTTGATTGTGTTGATCAGATCTATTTCCTTGCACTTCCTTGGAATGAAGATTTATTGAGAGATCATGTAAGATTTGCAAAAGTATAGTTGTCAGTGGTAATTTTTAAAAAGTATTATGTCATTGATTTTTTTTTTAATCACATCTATCCAAATGATAAACGTTAGCTTTTTGTTTTTTTCCTAAATCTAGAAATGCACATCTTGGCAAATAGTGTTTTTGTTTTGCTTTAGCTTTTCATGATTCTCATTTCTAGATGGCCTGAGAGCTAAATATAATAATTCTCTTGTCAACTCTTTGTTGTTGTTGTTAGGTGCCATCAAGTTGTTTCCGACTCATGGCAACCCTGTGTCCAACAGAATGACACTGCCCGGTACCACACCATCCTTACAGTTGTTGTTATGCTTGAGCCCACTGTTGCAGCCGCTGTGTCAATCCATCTCATTGAGGATCTTCCTCTTCTTCGCTGACCCTCTACTTTACCAACTCTAATGAGATTTAAATAAGTTTTATTTTCAAAACAAAATTCTGATTTTACTTTTTTCTTAGGGCTATCTTACACTTACGTTCTTTCAATTTTGCACATCCATATTATAATAAGTTTTAAAGTGCATCACTGTATATAGTATTTATACAGGGCTTTAATCCAATATCAGGAACTTCTGAGTTGTTATTATACCAGCTTCCTAGAATTATTATTTTATAAAACAACAGAAAAATGTTTCAGTAAGCATTTCTTATAACATTAACATTATAACATAACATTTCTTATAACATTTTGGGCCAGATAATTCTTTGTTGTGGGGGCTGTCTTGTGCATTGTAGGATGTTTAGCAACATCCCTGGCCTCTACTCACTAAATGCCAGTAGCATATGCCCTGTCCCCCCTCAGTGACAATCATAAATGTCTCCAGACATTGCAAAATATCCCTGAGGGAGCAAAATCACTCATATTTGAGAACCCCTACCCTACATCCAATCTGTTACTTAATTTTACTGATTCTACTTTTCAAATATACCTAAATCCCTCCTCAGTTCTTTATCTCACTCCCTAACCTCCTACTCTCTCTCTTTTTTTTTTTTGACACCTGGATTATTCAGTAGGGTTCTGACTAGCCTCCCTATGTGAAATGTCTCCCTCTAATCCACCCCCTTCGCTGTTGCCAAAGTTATTTTTCTAAAATGCAAACCTGTGCACTATTTAAAAAAATCTCTCAGTAGCTTCTAGCAGGAACCCTTGTGAACTGGCTTCTGTCTTTACCTCTGACCTTCTTCCTTAAAGGCGCTTACACTCAGCTAAGGTTCTTGCTACAGACAACAACAATGTACCGTGCCCTCTTTTCCGCTATGTCTTTGTACAGTTCTGTGCCAATACTTTGTTTCAAAACTTTATTCAGGTATCAAGTCCTCCATCTTAGCCCTCCATCACTGACTTTCAAAGAGTGTAGCATGGTGAAGAGCATTTTATTTTTTAACATACCTGTTTTCCCTCACCGGATTGAATTTTTCAAGGGTAGAGACCATCTCTACTCCAGTGCTTGGCATGTAGTAGATGTTCAATAAATGCTTGAATCATTTATTAGCATGCCCTGTTGGATGTAGTAACATGCCCATTACTTCTAGTAATTCTGTTTCCAGTATCAGCAGTGAAAATTATTTCCCTCTGGTTAAGAGCTTGGCTACTAACCAAAAGGTCAGCAGTTCGAATCCACCAGCTGCTCCTTGGAAACCCTATGGGGCAGTTCTGCTCTGCCCTGTAGGGTCGCTATGAGTCAGAATCCACTTAACAGCAGTGGTTTTATCCTTTATCAAACAGGCTTTGATGGGTAGTCTTTGGACTATAGAAATCTTGAACTATAACTTTCTTTAAAAAACTAGTTATTCAGAAGGGAATTAAAGAAAGCTGGATACTTAGTTGATATTCAAATGTCATTTCTTATATATGATAGCTAGTTTAAAGATTTTTATTCAGACGAGAATTAAAGTATTTAATATGATGTGGAAAGTACTTACTGGGCTCAAAACATTGCATTTCCATTGAATAAGGATTTGTTTTCTGGTCATATAAGGCTTACAAAAGCAGTATCATTGTCTTAACTATTTTAGTTTTTTAGAAAATATACTTACTAGAACATAGTCCTATACTTACCAGCCTGCACTATTTACCACTCTGAAATGGAAAAAAAAAGATCAAGTCAGTAAAGATTAGGGTGTCCCATTATCCTTTCTTATATGCCTTAATATTAAAATAAGAGTTTTCTGTCATTGGATTTCCCTGTGAACTGGAACAAGCTAGCCACAGTCAGTCTGACCAACTACACTTATACTTAGAACTCTCATTAAAAGATGAATAGAGGCTGCAGAGCTTTTGGAAGATAACCCATGCTGTTAAGCACCTGCCTCACTCAAAGTCCAGGATCTAAGAATGGGGAAAGCGAGTGAACAAGACCTATGCCCAGTTGAGACTATTCATTCTGGCACAATGCCTTGCCAGAGGGTAAATAATTATCTGTTGAATGAATTCATATATGATCGCAAGTAAGCAGGAAATGAAGACTTTCTACCTCATTTTTTAGGGAGTGGCACAAAACGTTACCACTTTATTTCAAAAGAGATTCTTTAGTAAGAAAAGTTGTTATGGAGGTTTCCAGAAATAAAGGAATAGTCCAGGTTGCCTACAGGGACAGTACTTCCCTTTCACACTGCATTCTCTGAGAGCTAAAGTAAATCCAGGAGACATATATGACACTTAGCCCATTATTAGTAACCTAAGGAGCCATTTCCCAGGGACTCAGATTTGCCTTGCCTGTTTTTCTCATTTCCCCTTTTCTATCCTTTTTCCTTGTTCCCTTTCTTTAAAGTTTATTTTAAGGACCTTGAGCTGTTTTAGGAAAGAAAAGTATTATGCAAATGAAAGAAATGAGCTTTGTGTTTTTATTATGCTAAATATATTTGTAACAAAACATTTGCCATTTCAATATTCTGCATATGTATACTTCAGTGACATTTATTATGTTTATCGTGTTGTTCAACCATCACCTTTATCCACTTCCAAATTTTTCTATCACCCTTAACAGAAGTTCAGTGTTCCCTAATCATTGAGCACCCCTTTTCCCCTTTCTCCCTCCTGCCCCTGGTAATCACTAATGAATTTTGGTCTCTATACACTTGCCTATTTTAGATATTTCATATAATGAGATCATACAATATTTGTCCTTTTGTGACTGACTTATTTTACTCAGCATAATGTTTTCAAGGTTCATTCGTGTTATAGCACGTATCAGGACTTCATTTCTCTTTATTGCTGGATAATATGTCATTGTATGTACTATGTACCACATTTTGTTCATCCATTCATGTGTTGATGAACATTTAAGCTGTTTATGCCTTTTGGCTATTGTGAAGAAATGAGCTTTATTTGGGGAGAAAAAGACCTGTGGTAAATGCTATTTTCAAAAGGGTTTTTACTCAGAACTTGGAAAATTTTGCATTGTTATTGTATTATATATAGACCAGCTCATTCTTGATTTTTAGATTGTAAGATTCTGTAATATAATATTTTAAATATATATTTGAAGAGTTCTGGTTCTTGAAATAATTTTCAGGTCTCTCTTTTATATGTTTAAGGCCTCATTTGGGCTAAGTAATAGTTATTTGTGGTGGTGAGCAATTTTGTTTCCTGTTTACTTTTCAAAATAGTAAATATTATGCTGAATATAAGTCTTCCCAGTAAGTTGTTTGTCTGTTACCAGAATAATACAGATATAAATAGGTGAAAACTCTTAACCTAGTGAAGATCTGATATAATTGTGTTTGAACAGAGTAATTGTTCTAAAGGAGAATAATTAGAATATTCAAATTTGAAGAGTTTCTCTTATTTCAGAAGATAGGGAGTTGTTGATTAATTAAGCAGACTCATCCTCACAGTTTTCATGTTGTCTGGTCCAGTGGCGTAAAACTGGCTGCTCTCAGTCAGTCATTTTATTTTCTGCCCTACAGGGAACAACCCATCTTCAGCACTCGAGCTCATGTCTTCCAGATTGACCCAAACACAAAGAAGAACTGGGTACCCACCAGCAAGCACGCAGTTACTGTGTCTTATTTCTATGACAGCACAAGAAATGTGTATAGGATAATCAGTTTAGATGGCTCAAAGGTAAGTTAAGTTTACTTTAAATAATCATGCTGTCTTGTGTTATACTTACTGTATTCCTGTTTTTTCCCAGAGGATTTTATCTTTATATAACATATTTCCTTATCAGTTTTTAAAACTTAACTTTTAAAAAACAAAACTGATCATTTTTAGGATGACAACATTTTTGTCCACTAAACTACTTGGATTAAACACTTTATGAAGTTAAATGTAAAAATATTCTACAAATTTGAGGCTATTTGATTTATTTGGTAAATGTTGACTGCCTATCTATTAGGTATCAGGCATTATGCTAGGTGCTAGGAATATAGTGGTGAACAGACTGGACATAGTCTCTGGAAAAATGTTGGGTCAGCAGCATCTGGCCTCCTCTAATTTTCACAAGGGAGAAGGAGAGTCAAGATCAACAGCCCAAGGTTGATTCCTACGAGGCAGAGGTCAGACATGCCTTCTCTCTCCACCATCTTTACCAATTCTGACACCAGCCATCCCTCCCACGGCACTCTCTACTTCTCTGTGTGGTTCAATACTCATGATTATGGGGTTTATTAGGGAAGTAACGGGTTACAATTCAGGTTCAGGAACGCTCAAGATACAGTTCTTCCTTTAGGAGAGCCTCTTCCCCAGTAGTGCCACAGACACATCTCTCTCTGGCCTCTCAGCTTCTACCCTGCTTGGGCAAATGTTGCAAAGCTCTTTTAGCTCTGCCAGTAAGTACCCAGAGGCACCCTACTCCATCAGTAAGCCTCAGCCCAAAGGCACTCAGCTTTCTCGCTCTGTGGGCCAGGAACCCCACTGTACCGTCTCTTACTGGTCTCTCCTGCTGCTGTTTCTCTGCTACCACTTCTTGCCGTCTTCTGTGTTACGGCTCTCTCCCTCAGTCTCCTGTTTCCAGGAGCTTCTCAGCACAGGGATCCTGTGACCAAAGGACGAGCTGACTCTTCTTCCTTGGTGGTGGTGGGATCCTTTCTTTCCCGCCTCTGGGATGGCTCGTTTTCAAGCCCAGCAGCATGGCAAAACTGACCAATCCAGTTGGTGGGCCACAATTACCCTGTTTGCACAGTCCTACCCAGTGATTTAGGTGGGAGTTACAAGACCATGGCAAGAAAAGCCACACAGAAGTGATCCATCACCCACAATCTCTATTTTTGTGAAGTGTACAATCTAGCGAGGAGCTACCTGTGTAGACTAGTAGGCAGTTCAAAGTCTCTAAATCATCCAGTCTGTAAACGTCAACACTAAGGCTGACATCCCTTGTCTAAACAAAAGTATAAGGACAAGACCTAAGTTTTTATTTTTAGGAGAAGAAAATAGTGTGGTGATTAAGAGCATGAACTGCCTGGGTCAGATCTCAGCTCCACCATATACTGAGTATATTTGACTTTAGGCAAATTGCTTTTCTTCTCTGAGCCTTGGTGTTCTCACTTCAGTGCTGGTAGTTGTAAGGATTAAATGAGTTAATGTCTGCAAAGCGCTTAGATTGGTTCCTGGTGTATAGTATACCCTTAAAAAGGGATGGAGATGGGAGTGGGGGAATCCATTTCACCATCAGTGAATTTTATTTAACACACTTAGATAAAGAAATTCCAAACATCAGATTCTAGATATAAAGTGTGTAGAAAGGTAGATGTTTCATTTGTCTCCTCTTTCAAGCTTTCTTGAAGACATGAAGCTTTTCCCCTCTAAGAAACTTTAGTGGTCCAGTGTGGGGGTTAAGGGCACAGACTATAGCTGGATTGTCCGGTTTGAATTTTTGCTCCACTATTTACTAGCCATGTGACCTTGAGCAAAGGTATTTATCTTCTGTGTGCTTCAGTTTTCTCATCTGTAAAAAGGATGGAACTACCTACACCATTACACCATGGGATTATCATGAGAATTAAATTAATTAACTTAGGTCAAAGCACTTAAAGTGTGCATAACCAGAAACCAAACCTATTGCCTATGAGTCGATTAAAACTCATAGCGACCCTATAGGACAGAGTAGAACTGCCCATAGGGTTTCCAAGGAGTGGCTGGCAGATTCGAACTGCCAACCTTTTGGTTAGCATCCGAGCTCATAACCACTGCACCACCAGGGCTCCAAAGTGTACATAGTAAGCACTATATAAATACTTGCTGCCATTGTTATCATTATTACTGTTACAATCATGTAATGCCTAGTGGTTTTTTGGGGATATAAAATATAATTTTATTAAATATTACACTTTCAGTCTTTTTTTCTGTGTGCTTATCTGTTATTTCCCTTACTAGATTATTGGACTCAGGAGCTATTTGTACTTTGTGTCTTGAACAATGCCTTGTATATATGTGATCACCATGTATTTATTTCAATATTTGATCCTCTTTTCATTTTTACTTGGAGGATTTAAAGGTCTTGGAAAATAGTAGTATTTAGCTTCTTTGAAACTTTAGTGAAGAATATTATTTGTCACATGTACCTATTTGGTTTAGTGAAATTAACGAATACTAAGTATAATAATGTCAAATTCTAGAGTGTTAACTTTTTTCTTTTTCCTGACTCAAACCTTCCAGTTCTCTGTAATCTGTGTTTCTCTCCTGGCCGTTACTAGATACCAAAAACCAAACCAAACCTGTTGCCATCAAGTCAATTCTGACTCATACTGCCCCATAGGGTTTCTAAGGAGTGGCTAGTGAATTCGAACTGCCGATCTTTTGGTTATATAAAGGTAAAGGTTAACTGAAGTAGCCCCATGAACAAGAAAAGAAACTATATGGAAGTGCTTAAGTAGATTTCAGTTGCTAACATAACCTTCAAGAGAATGAAATACTTTAAGTCACTTTCAAGGAAGGAATTTTGGTGATTAAATAATCATGTATTCTTCCTTCTGAGATAATATGACGTATTGCTTCTAGCATTTAAATTATTGAATATACTTGGCTGCTTGTAATTATTAGAATCTTAAGTAACTTGTGAAAAAAAATTTTATCTTTTCAACGAATTCTTTGTTCTATAACAGAATTAGGTTTTCCATTATCTAGTTAGTTTTCTGAACTGATGGCAGTTAACTTCTGCAGTTCCCTGCAGGAGTCGTTGCTTCATGGTGTGGGCAATAGTGATTTATTTGACGCAGCTAAAGGAATGCTTTTCTCCTCCCCCACCCCACCCCGATTTATGCACTTCATGATTAAGTGATGGAAAACCCTTACCCGTTGTTGCCACTGAATCGCTTTTAACTTATAGCAGCCCTATAAGACAGAGTAGAACTAACCCATATGATTTCCAAGGCATGGCTGGTGGATTTGAACTACCGACCTTTGGGTTAGCAGCCGAATTCTTAACCACTGTGCCACCAGGGCTCCGGAAAGCCCTTAGGTGACTAGAAAAGGTCAGTTTCTTCTCACTCAGTGCCTTACTGTGCATGTAGAGCTTGCTTTAAAGTTTTCTAACCATACTGCAGAGACATCAGCATGGCCAAGGGCATATTACGTGATCTGTAAAGACACAGCATTTTTGCCTCTTTTGCTTAATAGGACAAGAGCTCTGGGGTTGAGAGACATATTTAAAGAGCTAAAATTTTCTTCTAAATGGATTAAAAAAACATTTCTGCTAAATGACATGAGTTGATTGTGACTCATATCAACCTTTGTGTGTCAGAGTAGAATTGTACTCCCTAGGGTTTTCAGTGGCTGATTTTCGAAAGTAGATCTCAAAACCTTTCTTCCGAGGTGCCTCTGGGCAGACTCCAATCCCCAACTTTGAGTTAGAAGCAGAACACTCTAACCATTTGCACCACCCAGGAACTCCAAATGGATTCATACTAGCTTTCTATTCAAAGAATTCTAAACAATAAAAAATTTTAAGTGTGAGGTCATTTATCATTTTAAAATTTTTCTTCAGTGACAAAAGAAAACCAAAACAGGTTATACAAAGGAATGCAAAGTTTCAGAATGAAGATTAAAAAGGAATTCTTAAAAGCAGAAAGAAGGTAATTTTGAATAGCTAAAACAGGGTATCAGTAGCAACTAACAGTATATTGGCCAGTTTTCTCAGATGCCTATAAAACCTATTGTTACCCTGCTTTTTAAGAATTATTAGGGTCACATGTTAAGTGGCCTTCTCTCCTTGAGTACACTTGGACCAGCTCAGCTATGCCCTTCTCAGGGAACACTGCAATACCACCAAATCTGAAGTAGTGCCTGCCAGGCCCTCCCTTCTTGCGTTTCACTCTCTGTCACATCTTGTCATGACCTTCACAGTATTTATCACTCTGAAATTACACTGATAAGCTATTTATTTACTTGTGCATTTGACTGACTTAGTCTAGAATATAATCCATGATTACACTGCTGTCTTATTCATTCTTGAATCCCATATTTCTAGAATTGTGCTTTACGTTTAATAGGTGCTCAATAAAAAATTTTGGATTTGTTAAATTCTTTCCTATTCTTTCATTTGATGACAGTCTCACCAGTTAGAGCAGTTGTTAGTCTCCCTTCGTGAGATCTAAAATGACACACTGGGAAAAGCAGTTTTTAAACTGAAGGTTAAGGAAGGATCAGAGTATATCAATTTTGTCAGAGGTAAAAATCTTAATCAAGGATAAGGGCCCTCAAAGCAACAGATAACACATCTGTTGTCTTCAAGAGAGAGCAAGGGGCTCTCTCTGTTTCACTGTACTCTTTAGCAGAACATGTGCCATACATTTATTGTTACAACTTCATTAATGCCTGCCTAGCTCATAAATATTTACGTTTATACTGTTGTTCACATGGTAAACAAATTTAGCTTTATTCTGGAAATGCTTCGTTTTCATTTCACTTATAATAGTTCACCAGATGACTACTTATGGATCTGATAACCTGTATATTCTTATTATTATTGGGATAACTTTTTAATCTTACTTATAGATGCCATTAGAGTACTTGACTTAAAATATTTCTGTGCTTTCACAGTACTGGCAGAGGGAACAGACTTAAGTTAATAACTTTAACACTTCAAGTTTATTATGGTGTTCATCAAAGTTAATATTTAATAACACACTAAAATACTAGTTTCCTAAGAAACTATGTGTTAGGCAGAAATGATAGTTACCCTTATTAACATGAATCTGTGATGCTTTATGGAAAAGAAGTAAGGTATATACTTAGGAATTTGTTTCGCCTTGAGTAAAGGAAAAAGTACTAAATGATTAAAAGTCTTGTTTTTTAATCATGATGTATTTCAGGTAAATCAGCTTTAAGAAAATCCTTGATTTTAGATTTTAGAAAATTAGTGTCATTTGTTCTAGTGATATATTCATTTTTGAAAGATTCTTTGGGGGTAGGCTCTTACTTTTAAATAAAAAACTATTAAGACCTACATCCAGTAATTAGCATCCAAAATTAATAGATATTGATCCTAAACATTCAAAGGGAACAGACTCATCACACTAAAAAACCTTTTAAAAATTTTGGATCGTAGCAAAACTTACATTGAGTGTAAAATGTTGAAAATTCTTGATGGACAAGCATGTTAATAGATTTAGTTACTGTATTTCTACATAGTCACTTATAACGCTGTAAACTCTCTTTATATATTTAATATTATTGCCCATTAGGAATCCTAAGTTGTTATGTAACTAAATGGTCCTGTGTTTAAATGTCTGTTTGCTAATTTTGACTGGTTCCTCATATTTGTTTTATTTTTCAGGCAATAATAAACAGCACCATCACCCCAAACATGACATTTACTAAAACATCTCAGAAGTTTGGCCAATGGGCCGATAGCCGGGCAAACACTGTTTATGGACTGGGATTCTCCTCTGAGCATCATCTTTCAAAAGTAAGTTAAATCATAAGATCTGAATGGAAATCTTTATCTTCAAGTCGAATGTCTTAAATGTATAACAACAAAGAAAGAGTATAAAATACAGGAGAAATTAATTTAATATTTTCAGAACTATGGTGACTTTAGAGCAAGAAGTAAGAGATCATTGGATTCCACTGTCAATTGGAAAAATTATTGTACACATTAAAAATGGTCACCATTGATTGAAAAGGATTTGTGTGGGTGTTAACTGTCTGTATGATAGGAAATAAAAGGTGAGAATTACCATTGCAGAATGGACTTTGCTCAGGGATTAGCACCCTCAGTTGGAGATGTCTGTGACAGTACATAGCAAGATAAATAAGTACCAAGTTTTTCTAAATTGTGAAGACTCAAGCTGATAGTGATATAGATTTCAATGTTTTGATGCAACAGCAGGCACATATAAATTACTGTGTTTAGGGAAACTTGCTTGAAATGGTGCTTTAGCTGGGTGTGGAGAACTCTGAGCCTTCTGATGCAGTACAGTGCGAGATCCAGCAGGCACCAGAAGGAGTTCTTGGATGATACTAAGTGAGTTACTGTGGCCAGGAGGCCAATAAAATGCTGAGCATCGTTGGGCTAAATGTTGGAAATTAAATTTGTCCTGCCTATAAGTAAAAGCCATGCAGTGCTCATACCAGCAGCACCTTGAATTCATGTGGATGTCACATGGGAAGAGGGCACAAGGGAAAGGAAACAGTCTCAGAATACTAAGATGATCAAGGACATGAGTATACGTACTTTTGCTCTTCAAATTTCGTGCCCACCAGACTCAAGGTTTCAAGATTTATGCTTCCAACCTCTCTGTTTGAATCATTTGGCTAAAAGGATCACCCTACATTTGGAAGACTTTACAAGTGATTTAAGATACACAGTATCTGATGATGGCTTGAGAGTTCAAATTGTTGAAGTGCAGGATAATCAAGTCTTCTTATACACACTGTTCATATTTACATTAAACCTTATGCTACTTAAAACAGAAGTCATTCAGAATCTTAACAATGAGTTCTTTTTAAAAATCTCTATTTTTGAATGTTTATTGACTTGAGGTTATATTAGATAGTTCAGTAGTTGACATAACCTACGTACTTGGTTTCCTTTGTTTTAGTTGGAAACGTTCCTTTACACTGTGTTGTTTTCAAGTGTTTTTCTTAACGTTTTGCTATAAATTATAGTTTAAAGCTAAATTTTAAGATAATTTTAACCTTTGCCTTAAGTGACTATAAGTCATCCTCTATGAGATGATTAAAACAAACCAGAGTTATCTGATTTGGTTTCTCTTACACACACCTTACTCTAATACTTTTCTTGAACTATGGTATGAGTTGTAGATTCAAAGTAGAATAACTGAACCCGACATAACAAGGACACAGGCATCCATTTGAGCATTGCCTCTTCAGAAATAGTCCCCTTGGGAAATTATACATTTATCCTAATATTTTTGCCAATACTCAGAACCTTTTGGGGGCTCTTTTTTGGAATAGTCTGTTAAAGCCTATAGGAGAAAATGAAAAATATAATTACATTCCACTTGCTAAAATTCTTGACTTGAAAACACAGGAACTAAGTCATGGATTAATTTTTCAAATAAACTTGTGTGAAATGATTTTTGAGCCTAAGTAACTTTTTTACTATAAATTAAGCTTTTTGTTACATTTTTCACATTGCTGATTAGCTAGCTAATGTGGTAAAGGAATAGTCGATTAAATTCTGTGATACTGTCTCTTCTTATTTTCTCATTTGATCTTTTCTCTGAGATTGGCTTTTATATTTCAACCATATTTTTTTTTTTTCTACTTTAAAGTTGGCATATGCTTTTAACCAACCTTATTGGGTGGTGAATCCTAATATTTTGAGGGTGGATTGAATATTAGGAAATATTATTACTTCACTAGACCTGGCTCTAAGAGCTTAAGATCAGTCTCTTCAGAATATTTTGGTCCAGAGATGACAAAATCATGATTTATTGTCCTAACTACCTTGAAGACTAATTTTGGTACTTTGTAGGCTTTAGGGAACCCAGAGGAGTTTATCATGTTTTACATAAATGAAGCAAGCATATAAATACTCTTTTTTTTATCATTAAGAATTATAAGTGGTTCAGAGTAGTGTAAGGGTTTGGAGAGGGGTGTGAAGGCAATTCTAGATAAGAGCCTCTCAAAATGAGGGAGAGCAGTATCCTTGGAAGGTGAACCATTGTATGGTTTCCTAAGGTTGACTGGTGTGAGGAAAATTCCAGCTATGCTTGGACTGTTAGAGTGCTTACTAAGTTGTATTTTGTTATCATGGAAACCTAAGCCTTCACATTTTTCTTTTGTTGAAAACAAAGAATGTAAAAATTAGCAATAGTGTGAGTGCCTGTGAACTCAAGAAGGGTTTTAGAAATTAAATATTTTGGAATACTAAATGAATGTAAGAGCTTTGTGTACTACGTGAAATTACAGGAAGAGAAGTTAATTATGATTTTGTTTTTATTTCATTTCCACTGATGTGAGACCTTTTAAGCTTTGTATTCAGATTTTCCTACAGTAAGGAAGCATTCTGTTCAATTACAGAAATGTAGTAGTACAGGTTTAGCTTCCTGATGTACAGGTTATAGGTGGGGCTGACAAGATTTAAAGTAAGAAAGGAAAGTTGTGATAATGACAACTTTTAATTTTGACCCTCTTCTGTCTTCCCAGGCAGGTCAGAGTATCATGAGCCTTTCCTTCAACATCTTCCTACCTAAGATGGAAATAAAATTAGGGTTGACTTATGGGAGTTTGAGGAGGGAACTATGATTTCCTATTTTTATTGCCAACTGTAACAGCAACTTAAATTACATTGAGATTTTTGGGGTTTTTTTGTTTTTTTCTATGTAGCCGTAACTTATTCTCTTGGGTAATAGTGGTAGACTAGCTTCCACTTCTGAAACAAGTAGATACTGCTTGTAGTCAGGACATTTTATGGTTTCCTATGGGTTCCTAAAAATCAGCATTTTATGTACCATAATTTTTCTTTTGAAATTGTTGCCAGTTTTAAAGATCTTTGTGGAATATGTTATTCCTTTCTTCTGCTGTACATTAGCTGTTTAGGAATCTTTGGAAATGACATTTTAGTAATATCAGTAATACTAGTAAATGTTACTAGATGTATTGTTGAAAATAAAATGCCTCACTTAATATGAGAGTTTATATTCTAATAAAAGTTAAAAGTATATTCTAAATACTCTGATGTTTAGGAGTGGATACTTTAAAAAATTCAGTTTTCTTGGTAATAAGCAAAACATGGTGTGCCTGTCTTTCTTGCTTTCACCCCCAACTCCAACCACCACCTTGGTCTTAGTAAATTATTTCTAATCAACAAAAACCAAGAAAACCAAACCCATTGCTGTCAAGTCGGTTTCGACTCATAGCAACCTGTAAGACAGAGTAAAACTGCCCCATAGGATTTCCAAGGCTGAAATCTTTACAGAAGCAGACTGCCACATCTTTCTCCCATGGAGCAGCTGGTGGATTTGAACCGCCAACCTTTCGGTTAGCAGCCATGTGCTTAACCACTCTGCCACCAGGACTGCCCTGATCAACCAAGTAGGCATATAAGTAAACTACCTGACACCAAATTCTAACTTTAGTTATATCATGTATATTTTTTAATGATATTTGTCAAAGTACTGTATAGTGTACAAATGTTTGCTATTAGTTTTCATTTTCTGTCATTTTCCTGTAACACGTGTAACTGATTTGAGGGCTGTGTTACCAGAGTAAGAGTCAGTTATTTAGAAAATAAAAGAAAACTAAGATAAAAGTGGGCAGTGTGACTTATTTTTACTCGGTTAATGTATATAGTCTTTATACATTCAGTTTGCAGAAAAGTTTCAGGAATTTAAAGAAGCTGCTCGACTAGCAAAGGAGAAATCACAAGAAAAGATGGAACTTACCAGTACACCTTCACAGGTGGGTATTTTAATTTCTATTCTTATCTATGAGCCTTGTTCCTTTCAGGTGGTATTCTTTATGCCAGAGTTAAATTCTGGAAAATAATGAAAAAATTAAAGTAAAATCCAGAATGGACATAGAAACACGCCCTTTAGTTGATCTGCACTGGTGGAGATGATTTTTTTTCTATATGCCAGTGTCTACAAGAATCTTTTAAAAAAAAAAAAAAAACCTCATTGTAATAATTAAAACTCAGATGATTTAATGTGAATGCAACTTTTTAAAAAACTATTTTATTGTATTTTAGATGAAAGTTTACATAGCAAATTAGATTACCATTCAACAATTCATACACAAATTATTTCTTTGCATTGATTACAATCCTCGCAATATGTCAGCTCTCTTACCATTTCCACCCCACCTGCCCATTTCCATCCATCCAGTTTCCCTGCCCCTCCTTGCCTTCTCATCTTTGCTTTTGGGTAAATGTTGACCATTTGGTCTCGTATGGTTGATTGCCTAAAGGAGTACATTCCTCACAGGTATTATTATTTATTTTATAGGCTAATCTAGTATTTGGCTGGAAGGTGACCTCCGGAAGTGGCTTCAGTTCCAGGTTAAAAGGGTATCCTAGCACAATAGTCTCAGGGATTCCTCTAGTATCCATCAGTCCAAAAAGTCTGGTCTTTTTTTATTAATTTGAGTTTTGTTCTACATTTTTTTCCTGTTCTAACCAGAACCTTTTATTGTGTCTCTGGTCAGAATGGTCAGTGGTGATAACCAGGCATCATCTAATTCTTCTGGTCTCAGGCTAGATAGAAGAGGCTGTAGTTCAAAAGTGAATACAACTTAAAAGTACAGAAGAAGCGTAGATGGGCCTATTCTGTCTGATTTTAAATTATACTTACATCTGACAGTTGGAGCACCTACTTTTTGCTTAGCACTGAGGCACAAACGTTACAAGTTTTATAAAAGTTTCACATTGTCCTTTAACAAACACATCGGTACCTGTTACTTGTCCATCATAATCTTTCTTCAGTTGGAAATTTATTATATCTCCAAGTAAAGTTGGATAAGTAGTTACATATCAGTACTTTTAGAAAGGTTTTAGTATACATAGTGTAATTCATATAACCAGTTATTTTCAGATTTTAATAATACATTTTCCTAAAATTAATTTTTATTTCAATTGTAGTCTTAAGACTAGAGTCCTACTTTGTGCTGGATTCTTCTCTGCAATAAATCTTTTCTTTTTTTTGAAGTGTACTCAGTCGCTTTTATGAAAAGGAAGAATCAGAGAATGTTTAGAAATGTTTCTCTGAAATAATGTCAATAGTAGCAAATTTACATAGAACTTTCTTTAGAAAGTAGATGGGAATTGCCATAGAATTTAGTGACTAACCAAATATTGAAACATTTAGAAAATTATTTACTCTTCATTTCCCTCCCTACTCCTGGCACTGAGCTTTATTAGGTAAACCTTCCTGGTACAAAGAGTTGATTTTTTCTTTTACAGGAAAGGAGAGCTCTGTTAAGTATGTTTGAAGTACGTATTCCCCCACAGTCTAAAGGTGTACTCTGAGTGGAAGCCAAAGCTCCATTACACCTCGTTTGTACTTGCAGTGACCTGGATTAACTTGAATGATTGTTTGAATCTTCTCTTCAATCTGTGTTCTCTAAGTACTGTGATAGTGTACTGATATTTTAAGCATAAAGACCTATCTAAAATTAAGTACCAGTACATGTTGGGAGCTCTGATTCCTTAGGTGATTGATTGTAGTGTTACAAGAAGATGCAACAGCGCATTCAGTAAGAGAATGCACCAAGGGTTTCGGTAAAATTGTAATGTATTAAATTTTGCCATTCTACTTTCTTTAATCATAGCTTCCTTTTTGTTTAATTGACCATGAACTGTTACAAGTTCCTGCTCTTCTGTGGTGGAAGGAATGTCTTTAAGCCTTTACTTTCCTCAAAGGACTATAACAAAGATACTTATATTTGAAGAATGCTGTGAAATGTGAAGAATAGAGAAATGTCTTAAGTTAATCAATGTTTGAGAGCCAAAATAAAGTGACCTTAATTTATTTTTTGAAAATGTTTGAAATCTGAGATGGAGCCAGGAGATGTTAATTTAAAGTACAGAAGCCAGAGAAAATAGTAAGAATGGTATTTATTTATTTTTCTTTTCCCCCCACACCCTCCTTCTTTTTAGATAAATTTCTTACAGATGTTATTATTTTTGTTTTGTTTTGGATCGTATAGTCTCTGGCCACTCTTATCCTGCTCATCTAGAAAGCAGAGTTTGACTCTCACTGGTTTAACCCAATCTGCAAATTAATACTCTACCTGAGAATAGAATGTTACTCAGGAATTCAGCAAGGGGGGGGGGGCATGAGATTAACTTTCAAAACTGATAATAGTAGGCAATCAGCTGGTCATAACTTTTGTTATTATTTGAGTTATAACTGACTATTTTAAGAGTTTGGGTTTTTGAGTTAGACATGCTTGGACATAAATCCTTGTTCTGTTGCTTTGTGATCTTGAGAAAGTTGCTTAACCTAAGGTAACTGTAACATAAGTATAAGATTACTTATAGAACTGTGGGGAGAATAAGTGTGACAATGGCAATGTAAGGCCACATTTAATAATGTATACTGTAGAGGCTGGCTTTGAATCTGGTCTCTAATCCTTGCTAGTTCGCTGAACTTAGGCAAGCTGTTCTTTTTCTTCAGCTATAAAATGGGAATAAGGCAATATCTCCTTATAGGGTTATTATTGTGAGAATTAAAAGTCAGGATAAGAACAAGGCAAGGCATATAGTAAATGCTTAGTAAATGTTAACAGCTACTGTTGTTGATTTGCTGCTTGTAATGGTTGTGATGATAATGTAAAGCCTTGGTAGAGTGTGTGGCACATAATGGTTATTTAGAAAAATACAAATGCCTTACTGTGTAACACCCTGCATTAGAATCTCCTGGAAGACTTGGTAAAACACAGGTTGCTGGACTCCACCTCCAGAGTTTCTGATTTATCTAACAAGTTTCCAGGAGATGTTGATGCTGTTGGTCTGGGTACCATACTTTGAGAACCAGTGATGTAGACAAGCCACTCCACCTTCCTAAAGTCTTGTGATGAAAGGAGTCTGGCATTTAGAGCAAAGTTAATGCCTTGCCTATTCTTAGTCTCTTGAGCTAAGGTTGTACACTAAGGTTATATAAATGTATGGCCATGCCAGGTAATCTTAGAATGTTGTCATAATCAAGGTATACATCTTTAGGAGTAAGTTGAATCTCATATTAGTTGTTAGTTTCTCTCATGTCCCTCTTTAAATAATAGACATTCATTTACAGCTCTTTCTCCATTGGAAGTCTTACGATCTTGTCCTTCCATGGAAATCTTTTAAACAGTCAGTTTGATATAAAATTGAGAGTGATGATTGGCTTTAAACCTGACATTTCTTATAAAATTCACAGTTAAAAAATATTGTACTTTAGTTAACTTGTTAGACAGTTTTCTCACAGTATGCATTGAAGAAAGGGGCTTATAATGAAATAGTACCCAAATTTCTCTTCAGTGGAGATTAGAAAAAAAAGTTATTGACCAAAACTTTCAAATTGGGTAAAACCTATTTACCCTTTAGTTATATGTACCCAAACAAAAATTTGTGGGTTTTGGGTTTTTTTTTTTTAACCTTTAAATTGCCAGATTCTAGCGTTGAAGGAGCATTGGTGGTTCAGTAGTAGAATTCTTGCTTTCTATGCAGAAGACTTGGGTTCAATTTCTGGCCAATGCACCTCATGCTCACCCACCATCTGTTCATCACTGGAAACTTCGGTATTGCTATGATGATGAATAGGTTTCAGCAGAGCCTACATACTAAGTAGAACTAGTAAGAAAGGCCTGGTGATCTACTTCCGAAAATCAACCAATGAAAACCCTATTGATCACAATATGTGGTTTCTTTTTATTAAAATAATTTCTCTAATTTTCCATTCAAATTTTATTTATATAATATTTAGTTATATATATAAAATATTGGTTTATATAATATTTAGTTTATGTAATATGTAGTTATATAAATACAATTGACATAAACAGGTTTAGGATAAACACAACTGACTGTTAGTAATCATTTAATATAACTAAAATCAAACACACTGCCATCGAGTTGATTCCAACTCTTAGTGACCCTATATGACAGAACAGAACTGCCCCAAGGGGTTTCCAAGGCTTTAAATCTTTATGGAAGCAGACTGCAATATCTTTCCCCCAAGGAGCAGCTAGGTTCAAACCACCGACCTTTCAGTTAGCAGCCAAGCGCTTAACCACTGCTCCACCAGGGCTTCTAAATTAATGAGTGTAAAAATATGTCAGCGGAGTGTAGATTAACCCGCTAGCCCTGAGCATGAGTTAGTTGGTATACTTTACACAGAAAGGAGGAACACGAGTTAATCCAGAGAGTCAGATTATAAGAATTTCTGTGGTCATCAGAAAATGAGATTTCAGAGACCGTGGCACTAGATGGTGACCAGGTATAGGGAATGCTTTATGACAGAGAGTTAGGGGACATTTGTCTGAGATCTCATCTTCATTTTCCTTTGGCTCTTCTTCTGTATCTCTCTTCTACAATTTCTTTTTATTTCCACCACCGTGGGAACTCATTATTAGGTTCTCCCCTAGTTTTTCCTGTCAGAGCCTTTGCTCAGAAAAGAATGCAGTATTCTCATCTCCATTTAAGTATAAAAGACTGAAATTGAATGGGTCTCTCAAGAGTGAAAAAGAAGAGCCCTGTTTTACTGAAGCCAAAAAGCTTGAAATTGTAACAGGAATTTCAATTTTGGGCTTTATTGGAGTTAAATGGAAGGTGGTAGCAGTATTTGGTCTCGTGGGGAGGGGCAGTGCTGCCCGCCTGCTACAACACACACCTGGCAGTAGGCACCTATCACCTTGAAGGCCTGCCTTCGAGTGAGGGATGAGTGTTTTTGTTTTTTTTCCCCATGTGATTCAGAATAGTCCTAGTTTTTTGCATTTCTTACCACTTCGTAAATGGGTAGGAAAAGAAAGACATTACCTGAGTGTTTAAGAAGCAGTTCACGACTCTCACATCTGCTCAGCCTCCTGTTTCATGATATGGTCACATCTGTTAGTTTTGGCTTCCTTGATGCTCTCCCAGGCTTTAATTTACATCGATATATTTTTTTCTTCAATTTGACTGTTACTTTTCTTTTTCTGATGGCAGATTATTTGTTTTGGTGGGAGAGAGCATTAGGGGTGTTTCTCAGAAACAAAGAGAGGTATAGACAGTTTTATTTTCTCAAAATAAGGATGTAAAGGTGATAGATATTTACTAGATCTCAGTTTTTATTTACAATTTATTTTTTGTTTTATATATTAGAAGAATATATGTATAAACACGTATATATTTCAGAGAAGATATTATTTATTGATTTTTTTTCCTTAAACGTTTGGTGTAAATGACTAGCCATGTTAGCTTAAGAATCTCTTTTTAAAGAGAAATAATCTTTCTCTTACAAAAGTTTGTGGTTTAGTAAATATGCTATCACATTTTTTTTTTGTACTTTAGATGAAGGTTTACAGAGCAAATTCGTTTCTCATTAAACAATTAATACATATATTGTTTTGTGACATTGGTTGCCAACCCCACAACATGTCAACACTCTCCCCTTCTCGACCTTGGGTTCCCCATTACCAGCTTTCTTGTCCCCTCCTGCCTTCTCGTCCTTGCTGGTGTGCCTTTTTAGTCTCGTTTTGTTTTATGGGCCTGTCTAATCTTTGGCCAAAGGGTGAGCCACAGAAGTAACTCCAGTACTGAGTTAAAAGGGAGGGAGTCTGGGGGCCATACTCACAGTGTTTCTCTAATCTCTCTTAGACCAGTAAGTCTGGTCTTTTTTTGTGAGTTAGAATTGTGTTCAACATTTTTCTCCAGCTCTATCCAGGACCCTGTATTGGGATCCCTGACAGCAGTCAGTGATGATAGCCAGGCACCATCTAGTTGTGCTGGACTCAGTCTTGTGGAGGCTGTGGTAGTTGTGGTCCATATGTCCTTTGGACTAATGTTTTCTTCATTCTCCCTTGCTCCAGACAAGGGTGGGACCAGTGGAGTATCTTAGATGGTCACTCACAAGCTTTTAAGACCCTGGATGCTACTCACTGAAGTAGGATGTAGAACATTTTCTTTATAATGCCACCACATTTTTTATTTTAATATTTGATTTAAAGATATAAAATGTTGATCCTGTACAAGGACTATTGCCTTTTAAGGAATAACTAAAGTTCAATATTTAGGGAATTATACAAAATTTAGATTAAAAAAAGAACTAGATATTTGGAATATGGTAAATTTTAACAAGTGCCACAGTGCTATTTTTAGCATATAGAAAGTTTCAGGTTTCACAAAATATTTTTGGTTACCTATTGGGACGTTGGACGGAAAGGTGGTTTCATTTTCATATTACACCTTACATACTTTTAGAACTTTATTTTGACCTCATGAGAAAATAATAATTTTACTTAAAAAAAAAAAAACTCATACTTTGGGCTTTTTGTTTTTCATTTCAGATACAACAATCTGGGACAACTGAATATGTTCTTAATTAAATATAGCTAATATTCTAATTTTCTGGAGAAAAGCTAATTGCGCTGAGATGTTGGGATTGCTGCAACCTCCACTCTTTTCCTTCTTTCCTTCTTAATTTACCTCCGAGAGCAGTCTCCCTGTTTCTGTAGCATCAGCCTTCATAGCTTCTCTCAAGACCCATGCCTCAACGCATCCCTCTCTTATTTTTCTTTTGAAGTGACCCAAACATTTAACCTGAGAAGGTAGTAAGATGCAGGAATCAAACTGGTACTCCTCTTCCTCTCTCTCTTTTAATTCTACTTTCTTCCACTGCATTCTTCTCAGCCAATTCCAGCAAATCCTTAGGCGAATTCTTAGTTGCTAACCTCAGCTGCTAACCGAAGGTTGGCAGTTCAAATTCACCAGCCGCTACTTGGAAACCCTACGGTGCAATTCTACTCTGTCCCATAGGGTTGCTTATGAGTCGGAATCGACTCTATGGCAACGAGTTTGGTTTGGTTTTTGGGAACGCTGGTTATGTCCTTTCATTTTAACCAGTTGATTTGTTTCTTTATCATTTCCACTGAATTGGGTCTTGGCCAGCTTACTATCTAGCATATTAGGCAGTCAGCCTTGATTAAGTTTAGTTTGGCCCTTGAGAAAAATATCCCTGATTTATTGATACCAAAGATGATAACCTCATAGTTTCTTCCTGGCTGCCTAAACTTTTTCTGGCTAATTGATCCGGCTTATAACTGACCCAGCAGTAGTCACTTTATAGATTCCATTTCCATTATTCACTTAGTAGGATTTGCCTTTGTTGTTAAACAATTTTATGTTGTCACATTATGCTATAAACTTTATCCATGCATTGGCTGTCAGTTAATGGAAACAAAGAGGACTTAGGAGGAAGATTTAATAAGAACAAAATTGTTGGTGAAAATAGAGATTCCATTAATAATTGAAAAATGGTCAAGTGATAACGTGGAATCAAGAAAGAAGCCTTTTTGAAGCTTTCAATGGTTTTGCCCGTTTGTAATGTTAATATATAGTGATGACTCTGTAATGGTCTCTGGACTTGGACAGACATGGCTATGGCAGCACACTTGTGCATCTTCCCATTCTTGCCTATTCTGTAATATTCTTTGGACTTAGACAAGGCTCTAGCAGCGTGCTTGTCCGTTTTCCCACTTTTGTCTGTTCTGTGATATTTTCTTGAACTCGAGCAGACATGGCTCTGGCAGCAAGGCTGTCCATTTCCCACTTTTGCCTTTTCGAATATATGCCGAATAAAACTTTTTCTTTTTGCTTAAAAAAACCAAACAAACTATAAACTATAATGAAAAAAGATCAATCTCACCAAATAAAAGTTTAAACTTTTTATATAGAAAAACAGTAATAAAGTTAAGAGATATGGTGAACTGAAAAAAAAGAAGCCTTTTGATCTTTGATAGCTTGTATAATTTATAGCAGTATTTTATTATTTTGTTAGAATATTTAAATGTGAAATAAAATATATACAGCAATATAAAACCCCCAAAAGAAAGTTAATTCCACCACATTAATATTTCCATGTTTCTTTTTAGCACTTTTTTTATTTTTTATGTAAAGTATATAAATTATCATAACCTAGATAGCTCCTTATGAGGGCAGTGATAGTTAAGTGGCGGAATTCTCACCTTCCACGCCAGAGGCCCAGGTTCAATTCCCAGCCAGTGCACCTCAAGTGCAGCTACCACCTGTCTGTCATTGGAGGTTTGCATGTTGCTTTGAAAGCTGAACAGGTTTCAGCAGAGCTTCCAGACTGAAACAGACTAGGAAGAAAGGCTTGGTGATCTGTTCCTGAAAATTAGCCCAAAAAAACCCTATGACTCAAAAAGGTCCTCGTTCTGTTTTGCACAGGTCACTGTAAGTTGGGGATCAACTTGACAGCAACTAGCAACAACAGAAAAAAGAACCAAACTAAACCCCATTGCTGTCGAGTCAATTCCGACAAATAGTGACCCTACAGGACAGAGTAGAACTGCCCCCATAGGGTTTCCAAGGAGCGGCTGGTGGATTTGAACTACCAACCTTTTGGGTAGCAACCAAGCTCTTAACCACTGTGCCACCAGTTGCCCTCTTATATTCTCATATTTTTTCTAATTGTAAGCATTTTCCATTATTACACATAATTCATCTTGTTTTTATTCAAGAAAGTCTTGTGTTCTTTCAAGTTACTATATTATGACCACACCTGACATAGACTCCTCAGTTGGATAGTCATATTTACATTTTCTTCCCTAACATAGCTTAGTATTTTTACTGTGGAGTTTTAGTGCCCAGTGCTCATAAGTGGTTCACCAAGCTGCCCTTTAACAATCTGGTGCTAGGACTGCCCTGGTTAACAGGTTTATCAAATGACCCTTCATTCTGATTTCTAATGTCAAATCTGGATAATCTAACAATGGCTATCACAAGAATAAGTGGCAGCTTGAGGTTCGTTTTAATTTAACTTACTTTTCAAAGGAATAAATTAAATCTACCTTGCTATACAGATCTTAATTGAAAGTAGAAAGACGACAGGAAATTTTGTGAAGAGAAATAATTCCATTATGAAAAGAAAAGCTGAAATGCATAAACATCATTATGTATTATATGTTACAGAGGCCTTTCTAGTACTTTTCTAAATAGCTCTGCAGGAATTGAAAAGCAGGGTAGATAAGAAAATTAAAACTTGTTGCACATTTCAGTCTCCCCTTTGTCCCTCTTCCTCCTCATTCTCTTCTCCTTCCCCCACACCCCTCCCGTTGTCTACTTCTTCCTGCAAACTAAAGTCACTTCTTTGTTGCATGTTTGTGCCATCTTCTTTTTCTTCTGAAGTAATTCTTAGAATATCTTTTATTCTGACCACCTAGTTGCTTTCTATAAACCCAAGTTTTTCACTTCTTTGAAACTACATTTCTAAATTGTTATGTTTTAGTTATTATGAGTTGTTTTGCCTCAAAAATTGTTTCTCTTTCAAAGCTTATTTTTTAAGCCTTTGACTAAAATGTCTATTGAAATACAGTTCATGAGCATACATCAGAGTCAGTTTTAACTTTAAGATGATATCGCATACTTGAACAGACGTATAATTTTTTCTCCCCTCCTCCCCTCCCCTCTTCTTCTAAAGGAATCAGCAGGAGGGGATCTTCAGTCTCCTTTAACACCAGAAAGTATCAATGGGACAGACGACGAAAGAACACCTGACGTGACTCAGAACTCAGAGCCAAGGGCTGAACCAACTCAGAATGCATTGCCATTTTCACATAGGTACAGATTCAATTCCACCATCATGATTAAGTAAAATGTGTAAATATGGAAACTTATTTGGTTTCAGGGTTTCAGATAAATCTTGCAAGTTACAACGTTGAGCAAAAATTCCAGATCAAACTTTTTTTTTTTTTCCTTTTTTGGAGTACTGTTTCCATTAACCTTGGAAAAGAAATACAGAAAAATTTCATACTTCATGATTTATAGTTGCCTGCATGAACTGGAATTAATATTTCTTTATCTATGTAGAAAAGGAACACTGAGCTGGTTTTCAGTATAAACCTTTTTTTAGTTAAACAGGGTATTTTTGTAAATCATTTCTATTTTTTAACATAGGCCCTTATCTGATTTCTGTTTTCACATATATTCTTGAAAGCTATAAGTTGTTTTTGTTTTTTTAAAATAGACTTCCCACTCTCAGATTAAGCTGTACTAGAGATGATCTTACCACATGATTTCACAGAAGAAAACAGGTTTTTGGGTAACTTCTAGCATAAGCCTGTCAATGTTAATGTTGAATTTAATTTGGAGCATCAGCTAACAGGAGATAAATCTTCACATGCTTCTGAATTTTAAAGGAATTTGATGCTTTACAAAGATAGAATTTATCCTAAATGTGTTCCAAACCAAAAAATTAATTATTAATATTTTTAGGTATAAAGGGGTTTATGAAACAGCAGTATTGCAAATGTAAAATAAATCCCTAGCAGTTGTCTGTCTTAAAGTCTTTTTTTGTTTTGTTTTGTCTTTTTGGAAACTTCTGACTAGGTAGTTTTAGTTAAAATTAAGAAAACAATCTTCTCTTTTTATGCATCTCTTTTTGGGAACCAATAAAAAAAAATCAAATTCCTGAGCATATGAAGAAGAATTATGAAATAAGATACTCTTTTTCATGAATGAGAATTTTTGTTTTGGTTGAATTTGTTGAATATTCAGGGCATACAATTAAATTTATTAGACCGCATAGAGGGTAACAATGGAGAATTGAGAGACCTCCTAGTCACACTGAGGAAGAAGGATAAGTCAGTCAAGAAGCTTTGTGTGTGTTTGTGTGTGTGTGTGTGTTTTAAAAGAATTAATAGGAGAAGATTATTTAACTGTGAGGCTATTGTATTTTGTTGTTAAAAATACTAATAGTTTTCCATGAAGCAGTACATATATTTTGGAGTTATGGGTTTCGTGCTTTAACTATTATAGTATAAGCATGTTATCTGTTTGTGCTATAAAGATGACAAAACACATGAAAATTTTTAGTTCCTCTAATCTGAAGACTTTGTTTATATTGGTTTGTTCAACATAAGGTCTTTTCAATATGCAGCTACAATTAAAGAGCAGTCTTATTGCTATGTGATTTTTTGAAAGATTTTATTTGTTGACTTAAGGGAAGTTCTCCTCCCTGTGTTAACATATCCATTTAATAGAGTTAACTGCACTGAACATAATTGATACATTTGATTTTTTTGGCTAATACTTAAATGAGTCATTTGTGTTGATAACTGTAGCATTTACAAATAACTTATATATTTAAAATTTATAAAAGCTATTTCCAGTTTACTTACTGTATCTTTAATTTTATGAATGTTTATTGTTGTGGAGTTACTACCTGGTATTGCTCTTCCTCTACTGATTTTCTCTGTTCCTAGGGGTCTAATAAGAGTTATTTATTCTGACTTGAAGGTACAGTTATTTATTCTGACTTGAAGATATTACTTCTTTAACTACTGGAATCTGTAGATTAGCAATGGAGATGTTTGACAGAGTTCTGAATATAAAACTTAACACTTTTGTCTCCCCTTACAAGCTTTTAATTATATTAAAGGCATTACGTAATCTTAGTTTTTCTTATATTTAAAAATATTTAGCAATAAGATTTTAGAAGACAGATTCTAAACTTGTTTTAATTTTATGTTAATCAGTATTTAATTATTGGTGTGAAACCAAGATTTCCACCTAAGGTAGAAGATTGAATATTTTGCTGCTTTTGTTATTGTTAGGTGCTGTCGAGTCACTTTCGACTTGTAGCAACCCTGTGTACAACAGAACGAAGCACTGGCTGGTCCTGCACCATCCTCACAATTGTTGTTGTGCTTGAGCCCACTGTTGCAGCCACTGTGTCAATCCATCTCATTGAGGGTCTTCCTCTTTTTCGCTGGCCCTCTACTTTACCGCTGCTTGTGTTAGTATCCCACACTATCGGAGCCGGAAGGGCCCTCAGAGATGGTTTAATCCAGGGTTTCCCAAACTGGGTAGTTTGAAATAAACTTAATAGATTACGAGTGATATTCTAAAAAATGAAATATAATAAAACCAAATAGAAAACATCAGAGTAAAACTCACATTAAGAGTAGAAACTGTGTCTGTAATAAACATATTTATGTGTGTGCTGGATTACCTACAATGTAAAATGTCAAGGTTTAGAAGGACATGCCTTTGGCACAGGAGGAGACTAAATCCCAGAGGTTCGGTGAGCCATCCCAGGTAACTTTAGGACTGCAGTCAGCTTTTTTGACCCAAGTATGTGCTGCCAGGGAATTCATAGTGCATTTTAGTCAAATCTCCAACACAAGCATGTTGTTGCGTCAGAAAGCTAGCAGATGTTCCTGTCCTAGGAGACCTGCGTAGACATAAGACCACTGTTTCACAAATTAGAGACAGAAAGAATATTAACATAAATTTTATTTAAATCTGAAACTTGCAAGTGCTTTAGCTGGTTAATACCATTCTTTCTTCTATGGCAAAGAAGACAATTAAAATCTATGTTGTTAAGTCTTATTTAAGCTATTTATTATATGTCCTTCCTTAGTTTGTATTTTAACAGGAAAGAATGAACAGCAAAAAAAATTTTTTTGCCCATCTTTCTCTGTTCTGGTTGATCCCATGGTGGTGTTGCTGCTAAATTGGAAGCAAAATAATCAGAATGTCCACGTGCTTAAAAAAAGAGGGGAAAAAGTTTAAGGGATATAAGGAGCAGTGATAGTCAGGTTAATTAAGAGTTGACTGTAGTTATACCTACTTAGCAAACCAATTTGTGCTTTCCTTAAAATCTGCATTTTATACTTGAATCTTGTGAATTGGCTAATATACCAAGGAAGGAAGGCCCTGAAAATTTTGGTAATATGTTTATAGTTTGCTCTTTACTCTTTGTAATTTATTTTTAAAAAGTTATTACTTAGCTTTAGAGAGATTAGCAAGATTTCTTAAATTACTTTTTGGCATTTTATTACATTTTTTCTAATATATATGAGAGAGGATACTATAATGAACTCTCATGAATTTATTACCCACCTTCAACAGTTCTGAAAAAATGGCCAGTCTCATTTCATCTCTACCCACCACCAATTCCTCCTCCCTTGTATTGAAGCAAATCCCAGACATATAATATCATCCATAAATTTTTTAAATTGCCTTTCAGCTTTTTAAAAACTTACATACTAAGTTGGTATAACTTTTTATATTCTACCTGATTCAGTGGCATTATAAAGTTTTCTTGAATCATTTACTACTTCTTCTGATTATATTTTTTAATTATACTACTGAACTAAATTTTTAAAATGTACGGGCTGCTCAAGTGCTATAATACTGTTATCTCCATGTCATAAACTATGCAAAAACATTCTTACTAAATAATTTTCATGAAGTTAGTGCCTTTTTAGTGTACTTTTAAAGGTTTAAGAACGCGTAACATTGTGAGACCCTGATGATGAAATTTTTTATTAATTTCTTTGGGGAAGTGATACTAAATTTTATCTAAATTGCCATTCCTTTATAAAAAAGAAATACTTTAAAACCTAAATGATAATATCCTTTTAGGACTGAGCAAATATATGCTCTTTGACTACTAAATTCGTTAGGGAATCCTTTGAGTTCACAGTCTTAGATTAGCAGTATGCTAAATAGAGTAGCCTATATACTGATAAACTAGCATATACAAGTGGGAAGATTTGGGCTGTCATTACAGGGAGTTGTTTGCTCCCTGGCATTGGTTGTATGGAATATTGGGATTTATTTGTTATTTCATACAAATAAAAAGTACTAGGATTTTTTTTTAAAGATTTAAAGCTGCCTACAATTCTTTGGAAGTAGTTAATTTTGCAGTATTCCAATGCTGTATTGGAATGTAATACTGAAAACTGAAACTTTTTATTTTATTCGTTGTGATTTTATGATCATCAAATATACAGTAATATATTGGTAAATAAGGTGTTTTCATGTTTCTGACAGTTCATGACAGACATACATATATTAGCAATTTGTGAAGCTGTTTTTGTACTGATAAATTTTAATAAGAGTTTAATTACCTTAATGGAAAATTAGTTCTTTTAAGCACTGATTATACTTAGATTCTTCTAATGTTTAGATAATGTACTTCATGGTGCTGCTAGAGTTTGTGCGTTTTGGGGGTATTGCATGTATCATCTGTTCTGTTAAGGAAAATTTTCTGCCATTTCCTGTATCTCCAACAAATATTTATTAAAGGATGTATGCAGAAACTTTACTCTCTAGTATATTGATTTTACTTTAAATCAGTGTAAGTATAGTTTCACCAAAATTTATAAAATCTGGGTGAGTTCATTTCATTTATCTTTAATAGATTAGTTTCTTTATGCATTATCAAATTTTCAGAAATCTGCTACTTTAAAACTGTACAAAAATCTCTAATCAAATTTCAAAACCTAAATTTCATTTGAAATATTGCATACCATATAAGTACGTTACTTGTTAAAAGTTACTTTGAAGATGATACAAACAGGAAAAAAGCCAATGGTTATCAAGAGCTCTGGGGTACTATACTCTTCACAGCTGTGGCATCTGTTTCCTTTTCTATAGGTAGGAAGCAAACTTTATAACAGTTATGAACTAAAGTAGGAATAATTTCTGCAGATAACTGTTGTTTTGATAAAACTGCATAAAGCTTGGACTTGATTTCACTTGATATAATTGCAGATGAAAAATTTAAGTTGTAGTATTCCTCTTATTGCCATAGTCCTAATTGACTTAAA